AGAACTTTCCGTTCTCAAAAGTTCCTCATGCGAGGTCTAGTCATGTCAAGACGTCGGAGGTCACTACACCTCAAGCACGCATTCAGAAGCTCCGCGAGCTCATAAACGCCTTGGCATCGTTGATGCCAAGCTCTTCGTCATCAGTCCACGGCCAAACCTCTTCAGCGCGTAGCGTCACAAGCTCCCTAGTGGTCCCAGACCAACATACGCGCGCAGCGCCTGCTTCGGAAGCGGTTACCAGCCTCTCCATGGCCTAGTATCACCGTGAGCACCGTCGCCGACACGGCACACGCTCCATGAGCCGTCGAAGTGACGAGAGCCAAGCTCAAGAGCCTCGGGCTCCACGCAGGGGTAATGACCTCTTGTTCGATGAACTGGAAGAAGGTCAGATTGACCTGGACGAGCCCATGGCTGGCGATACGTCATCACAAGGCGCCTCTCCGAGGTCTCACCGCAGTATGGTGTCATCACCAGCCGCCTCTTTGAGGTCTCATGACTGGGTTTCTCGGTCACCACCGATGCGAGAGCTTTGAGCGCCAAATCTGTTCCCAGAACGACCGAACCCTCTACGGGCTTTGCGCGATGCGCCTCCGCTGCCCTCACGGTACGTCGAGGTAGATCAGCGTGGTTCAAACGGCATTACGAATGACCTGGATGAGGCTCAGAGCCGTATGCTATCTACTCAACAGTCGTCTCGACCTGCAATTGTTCATTCGTCGCGTCGCGACTATGGCTTCCAGCCATGTGACGCTGCTGAAACTGCACGTCGTGCTGCACAGCAACGTTTAGACACGTATGTGTGTGGGCCTGCTGCCGCTACTGCTGATGAGCAGGTGCTCCGGCACCCGCTCTGCGAGCGATACTTGACTCCACAAGTCACAACTCCGCAGGAGTATCGGGAGCGCTTGCAATTGCAACTCAACCGACAGTCGGTTCCCTCCATTCGAACCGTTCGGGTTGTTCTCAACCCAGCGCCTGGCGGCGCTGTCGCACGCTAGGACGGCGTTCCAGCACCGGATGTGCCCGATCATAAGCGTCCACGACGTCAGGGCAATCTTTCTAGAGCGAAACCTCAAACTCCCAAGAGTTATGTGAGTTTTTTTTCTAGGGTAACCCCTCCTCTTCACAAGATACTGGGTACGACCCCAGCGACGACGTCGCGCCACAAGGCATACCACGTGGTAGTGGAGCTCACTATGCTCATCGAGCAGAGCCGGAGGGGGGGGGGGCGGGGCGAATCGCCGGTGGACCTTCGCGTGGCGATTACCTGCGACCTTCGTGTGCTGAAACAGCGCGTCGGTTCACTGAACCAGTTTGTTGACGAGCCGAAGGTTTCTGGTGGCCGCTTGGCGGATGATCTCGAGGTGATGCACCGACGGGTGGACTGGTTTGACAAGCCTCAAACGGTCCAAAACCGGGTCGCTGACCTAGAGCGTCAAGTCGCTCAGCTGCAGGGTCAGCTGGACATGTTGCTGCGTCTCCAGCAGCTCGGTTCTCGTTCAGTGGCTCTGCCACTAGCTGTTCCTCAGCCTGCTGTGGCCGTGCCACCTGCTTTCTCACAGCGCCGTGTTGTGGCCCAGCCAGCCGCTGACGAGCGGCCACTTTTCGGGTCGGCGCCAGCGACTCTACGCTCACCCGAGCAGGATCAAGATATGGCTAGAGCAAGCCCACGTAAAACACCGGGTGGGTGCGCATCTTCTTTGGAAGATTTAAGCGTGTACGCTAGGCCCTTCCTGGCCACGACCTTGAACGGTCCAATGAACCTAGGTCTCAACTTGGTCTTAAAGACCGCAGACACTGCATGTGTAGGTAGGTTTTTTTGCGTTTAGTACAACGAGGTCGCCGATCTCAAACCTTTTCACAATTCCTCTGCTTCGAGCATCCGCATGTTCCTTTGGCAGGCCTTGGCTCTCAGCCATAGCGTCGCACACCTGGCGCATAACGCTAAGTCTCACCGAGACAAAGCCATCGACTTACTTGCGTACCGTAATAGGACTGATATCAGCAAGCCGCTCGGCTATTCCTCCCCCGCCAAGCCCTGAGCCACCACGTGGTCGTATCAGCGGGACGCGAGGATTCACAAGCCCGTTCACATAGAATGGGGTGAAGCCTGTATAGACATGTGCCGCATTGTTCAATGCATACTCAACGAGTGGGAGTATTGCGCTCCAGCGTTTCGGCGCTTCAGCACATACGCTTCGTAGGATGTCCTCCACAACGCGGTTAACGCGTTCAGTTTGACCATCGGTTTGCGGATGATCCGCTGTGGACATGTCCAAACGGGTGCCAAGCACCTTAAACAAAGGACGTCCAGAACTTCACGGTGAACCGCGGGTCTCCATCCGAGACAATTCCCTCAGGCAAGCCATGTTGGCGAAATACTCTGTCTAGAAACAGCAAAGCTGTACCCTCACCATCGATGATGTCCGGCACTGCCGCTAAGTGAGCCATCTTGCTCAACCGGTCTACAAAGACCAAGATACCAGTATTTCCCGCGTTGTCTCTTGGAAGGCCAAACACAAAGTGGACTGCCAACGGGACCGGTAAACTCGCTAATGGCGCCGCCGCGTTCGGCGTGGACTTCGTCCCTTGACACGTCTCACACATGCGTACATAGGTGCCCACCCATTTGTACAATTTGGGCCACCAGTACATCGATCTCACGGAGCCATAGGTCTTCTCACGACCTAGATGCCCACCAACGGGCGTATCATGTACCTCATAGAGGATACGATACTTGATGTCATCGTGAGGAACGACCACAGGAGGAGTGTCCTCAGGGCCAGTGCTGTAGTACAGCAGGCCACCTTTGAGAGTTTATCGATTCAGTCTTGTGCGTAAGCGCCCAGACATTTTCTTGTCAGGGGTTTTAAACTCTTCGCTCCCTGGAGCACGTAGTAAAGCTACACACATGTCGTATTGTGCTTATGCTGCGCGTATTAAGTCAGGCACTGACGACGTCACCGTTGTCACATGGGCGAACTCGTAGTCCGGCCTGCGCGACAGCACGTCGGCCACTACATTAAGCCGCCCCGGCTTGTACTTCACCTCGAAGTTATACTC